GTTTACTCCCGTGTTACACTAAGCATCTCTGACTTCCCCATGGTTCAGTACCTCGTAGATTTTTTGTAGTTTATGCTTAAACGCTGTCAGTTTTCAGAACACACAGATATGACGATGGATCATAAATTGGAACGAATTTGGAAGGAAGATGTCGAGGCCCAATCGAGGTACTGAGAAACTCAGGGAAACTGCACAGAACCTCAGTGAGAATAGCTGATGTCGCGGCCGATGCTCGGACCAAGTACCTTACGAAATACGTACAGAGCTTTGCCGTTAAACTAGCTTTCTCAGTTCCCCTTCTTTTTCTTCTTCTCTTCGTGTTCGAAATTTTTCATGCATTTGTCTCTCCTTGTTTTAAAAGTTTCTTAATAATATGGCTGAAGTTTTATACCAATAACAACATAAGTAGCACATTCATTTGTAAGTTGCGTGTATCACGGACTGACAGTGACGTGTCGAAGGCAAAGCGGGGGCGTATGCTACCCTGATGCAGAGTTCAGCTGTTTTGCTACTGCCTGCGCATTTTAATATGTGTCAAGTGGCGATCAAGGAAGCCACCGGCATCTTCTTCCAGACTGAGGGGACAGTCACTTTACAAACTGTAGTTTGAGGAAGGAGTCAAGAAAAGGAAGGTAGAGTTCGTTTGGAAAGTTAATAAAAGCTTTTGCATTAGGTCAAAGACTATTTTTTCAACAATTTTTATTCTCGCTATTAATATTTGGTGTCCTTCCTTTTCATTTTTAATTTTGACCATTTTCCATAAATCCAGAGAGGGCAGAAACCTGACTCGACTACCTTGTCCCCTGCCGATGAGGGACACGTTCGTATGCATACAAATTTCCGTGGTCTTCTGAGGGCTCTGACTAGCAGTGATTTACTCATTTTTATCACTTATTTATTTATTTTTTTCCTTGGCACTACAGCCCCAGTGGGCCTAGGCCTACCTCCATGAACTCCGTTCACTTCGGTTTTTCTAGATCTTACACATACGGTAGGACTCCTTGGGCGAGTGATCAGTTCGTCGCAAGGCCTCTACCTGTACACAAACGCAGAAAAACGCACACAAACATCCATGCCCTGAGTGGTATTCGAACCCACGATCTCGTCTTCCGAGCGAGCGAAGACCGTGCATGCCTTAGACCGCTCGGCCACCGTGACCGGCCACTTATTTATTAGTTGCCTAATTATTCTTTAATCAATTATTTCAAGATACTGGGCGGAAAAGTATGATACGCAAGGAAATCAATTATACAGACACAACTGCTGCTGGATTGTCTTGAGGACATTTCAGATATATGTAAATATAATATTAAAATGAAGATTACAGAAATGGGATCGTAGATATTAACTATCTTTAGCTTGCTAAGAATGGGTCCAATGCCGGCAGGCTATGGGGAGCAAGATAGACAAGTGCCCACAGTGATTTAGAAAAGAACTAAGACAAATTATGGAAGTATACTGATACTAATGTCATTTATGTTTCAATATACCGATCCAGAACTCCAGGGCGATCTGTAAAATTATTCGTAAATGATTTGAACATAAGTATCATAAGCAAACATGTGACATCATCTGCTTTGAAACATCCCTTGCCCTCGCTGTTCCAAGATGATTGCAGCCCTATCCTGACCTCTTATTTCTTTAAGAATCATTTTAATATTTTTCTCCAATCTATGTGTCAGTCTCCCAAGTGTTCCTGCAATCCGCATCCTCCCTTATTTCATTACCTAAATAATATGTTTTGAAGACTGCAAATTAAGAATTTCCTGATTACGTAATATTTTCTATTCTAAATTTGTATTCCCTCATTCAGGTTTTTCAGACTCTCCTCAGCATCTAGTTCTGAAACAGAGGACCCCCAAACATGCAGTCATCACTTAACAGAGAGATAAAACTTCACACTCGTACAAAACTACTACGTTTTCATGTAAAAACGGTAAACAAATTGTGAACTGAATTACTGCAGAAATTCTCCTAATTTAATCCGTTCTTAATTTCTTCATAAATATGTACCTGATTCGTTACTGTTTTTTTTTTTCAAATTTCTGCTGTATTTTGAACGAAATTATTAAGTATATTAAGTTTATGACTGTGTTTTGCATTAAAGTAATGAGACATGAATAGGCTGTGCTAGCTAACGGGAACTCCTCCACCGCGTTTTAAGACTGTCAGCTTTCAATCTGCAGGGCTGTCACTTCCCTAACTGATGATACCGTTCGTCTTAGCCAGTCGCGCTTACGTCACGACTTCCATAAAGATCATCACTTTGTATTCCCCTTGCTGTTCTTCTCATTTACAGAGTATATGTGGCCAACATGAGTAGAGATCACATAACGATGACAATGTGACTTTACGGAATGGCTTAACAAGAGACGTCGTCCGCTGGTGCAGTAAACCGGCTCGTCCCCTCATCAAACAGCAGGTAATCGCTAGACAACGGATAAACACGCAACGATCAACGATAGAGGAACTGTTGGTGGCGGTGTTTTACTCGTATATGCGGACTCCAAACCGAGAGGATCGTAGCCAATGCCTTGCGCACGTACTTAAGGACCTTTTCCGTATTCAGAAGTGAGTGGAAATATTAATTTTATGCTTTACAAAGTCCTCATTACGTCAGTTATGACCTATGTCTATCTCACCTGATGGCACGCGGCGGACGCTCACCTCTTGAAACCACAGCGCTTACATAACCGAGTTCTCCGCGCTACTGGAGACCTTGAGAGACGCGGAAAGCCACATAGCTTTGAAAATTCCTTACGTCTACGACTACATATATTTTTATTGCTAGTAGGGTGGCTAAGTCCCTTGTACTGCGGCCACTTCTGGCCTACTAGATACGGACTAGAGGACCGAAGAATATGAGATCGATTTCGACAGGGGCGAAAGACTTTTCTTTTTCACAGCATCCAGACCGACTCTGGAGCCAATCCGCCCTCCTATCCAATGAGCACAGGGGATAAAGCGGCCATGGCTTTAAGCTGACCATTCGACACCTGCACTTATTGCAGAGTTTAAGTAGGCCCCCATACGTCTTCAAGGAGCGATGTTTAATTAAGCATAGGGGCAACGCTGTAGCCGGGGTATGAAGCTGACCTCTCAAATCCAACTAGTGCCGAGTTGAATAAAAACGTGGATCTATACACCCACTCCCCCATACTCCTTCATGGCGTAATGCATAATTAGTTAAGCACAGGAACAACTTTATTCTCCACATACCCATGCGTCTTCCAAGAGTCTCTCTCCACCAGATTTGCCAACATAAATTTTTAAAACATGTCATGACAGTTGTGTTTTAACGGAAAAAGAATTTTCTCGCGAGTTAAAATATAATCCGCATTAGGATGAAGAATTCCAGACACCTTGTCTACTCTTTGAAATGTAATACACTTATTTGCCTTTAAAATCTAATTCTAACAAGGTTTTTCGGGTAGAGTTTTACAAGCCTATTTCTGTTGCACAGACTTCCGGTCCTAAAAATGTTGTATTTTGAAAGCTTTATTTGGGTAATATAAGAAACTTAAGATATATTAAATTCATAATCCATCAACAATGTGCATATTTGGCTCCTGGTCGGCATGTTGGACGGATGTGTATACGAGTACTGCCAGGAGTTAGAATTCTACTCGACTAATTTTTCTGTATTATTTTCTGCAAGAATGAGTGAATTACAGATTATTGTTTAGGAAGATCTTGGTTTATATTTCAGTACAGATTCTGTCGCAATGACAATTATTTATATATCGACTATATACAAATGAAATGGATAGGACACGCTACGTAAAGACCACAGTGCAATAGAGAGGCAAGCCCTGGACTGGAATCCCCTGGGACAGCGAAGGAGGGGCAGAGCAACAACAACCTGGCGGAGAACTGTTGAAGAAGAGTCCCGAAAAGCAGGAAAGATCTGGAGAGAGGTCAAGAGCCTGGTTGGGAATAGAGCCCGTTGTTGATGCTTCGTGGAAGTGCTATGCTCCAAAATGGAGTAGAAGGAATTGATTAATTGATTGATCGACTATATACGTTAGTGGCAGACACAGTTTCATGCCCTTATGTATGAAAATCGCTGTGAAAATCCCAAATCTCGCGAACGGTTAGTGGCGCAGTGGAATATTTCTGACCCAGAAATAAGAGACGAAGGATAACAAAGAAGTTGATTATTCGCCCTTAGCAACAAGTTACGAAATGTTCCGAGCGCTTATCAATGCCAGTGTGTACGCTTAGCCCTGTTTAATTATCCCCCAAAATTACGAGTCTTGCGGAAGGATTATTTTGGGCATAAAATATTACTTTAATTTGCTCTAGAATTTCTCATCGAATCAGATTTCGGCCTGATAAATATGAAAAGAATTGTGACTGCTCGGAGAAACGCATATGGGTCTTAAAGCAAATCGACAGTTTGTTATACTGTTTTAATCAAAACTGGAATATATCGTCAAACTTCTGCAAAACTTCCCGGTGGAGGCTCTCAAATTTCATGAAAATATGTTAAATGATTCTTGAGTTTTACACGCTGGCAGACAGGTATGAGGAAGTAAATATGCGAATTCTTACAACTTTCCGTTGGGAAAGTGCCAGGATAAGTAAATAAATACAAATTTAGTGTCACTAGTTTGCCTTTTGAGAGATGAGAACTTTGCGGTGGAGACTATGAAGATCGCTGGGACGGGACACCGTGTAGTCCGGTAGATGTTTACGGAATATCCGAAACGTCAGTAGACAGCCACTAGATCACAAGATGCCAAACCTCAGAAGACAGCAGTCTTCATTTTATCTTGTGTTCAGATAAACGGTCCCCCATAAAAGTTCGATGTCGGATTTAGTCAGACACTTAGAAAATCTTAGTCCATTCTAACATGTGCGACTGGACGTTTTAAAATCCAAACACAATTAGCTGCATCTGGTTGAATTTCAGTAACAAGAATTTCAAGACTTTTGACTACTTTTATCGTTGAAAGCGCAAACGCACTGGGAGTGTGCCTTTAACACAGGATACCCACCAGATTGCAGAACGTTGAACCGGTTGCCTAACGACACTACACCTCACTCAGCAAAAGCCAAAGGCCGACTGGTGGTTGTACCCACACGACAAGGTTGCGTACATGTGAAAGTAGAAGTGCCTCTGGAAAACTCTCACTGATGATGATGATGATGATGATGATGCTTCTTGTTGGCAGTATAGAAAGTATTGCGTTCAGTGCCAAGGAATCAGGGTTATGAGGCCAGAAGTGCAAGTGGTAGTGGACCACTCACTAAGCAGTTGTGTACTGACCACGGTCATAATCTGTGCCTTTGTATCTTCTGCACTCTAAAGCAAGTAGCGATCATGCTTCATATTGCTGAGGTACCAGAGACTGGCTTTCCTGACTGAAGAATTTCGTGGATTTCCTGATCTTTTACTTCTTTTCCAATTAATTATTCAGCTATTATCAGATTATTCGACCCCATAACAGATCTCAACTACATATAATATCAGTAACTACACCATTTTTTTTTTAATTTTATAGCTTTTATGCATGCATCATAAGTGTTAATCGACTCCTCTTTTTTTTTTTTTGCACGAAATCACTAGCACCCACCTACATAATTCATATTTCGCCTACCGCGATATTAAACAGGAAAAAAATAATTAAATTGCTTATTTCATATATTCCATCTGTAGTTGTCACTTAATGATTTTAACGAAGTGTACATTAGATAAGTTTTTCACGTGCATCTTTAATATACTTTGTAAACAATACAAACAATGACAGGACATATTTTGACATGTAAATCCATTGCTAGGCGACTCCCGTAACGCACACAAGGTCCATCACGCAACAATGGAACAATGGGGATATGCAAACCGTTTGTCGGCAACGGCTAGGTAAACGCATTTCCGCCTATCGGGCCGTGCTATGCAATGCGGTGACGTCATCAACAATGCAGGCTGTGTTTTCCGTGGGTTCTGTGCAGAGTTCTTATAAGAGAAGTGAACTCAGAAGCTAAGAGAAGTTGAGAGTGCAAGGACGAGAATGGAGCGTGTCCTTAGTGAATTGTGAAGATTAGTTGCGTACAGATTATGACAGAGGGGTGCAAAGTGATTGAAGACAAGATGACTTTATAATGATCTGAAGTGATAGTTTCTGCGTTGAGACCCGTTGCCATGAGAGGACTAGTGAAGACGAAGAATCCTAGTGCGTGTGCAACGGTGAACTGTAAATTGTGCAATTGAGCGATAGCGCTGTAAAAATGTGATTAAGAGGACTTGTAACCGAAGTGCTAGTAAATCCAGTCATCCTATCTAGAACCCTTTAATTTCGTCACGTATACCCCCATACACGTGGCAATATCTTTGTCTTTTGTCGCCATGGTACCCATCTACCAGATCAGGCAGTGTCACAGAGCTGAAAACTGCATTATGAGACTTCACAGTTCTGAATGCCTCGAATAGAATAAAACATTAGGGCACTTTAAACTACTGAACTAAAAAATGAAAGAGGACAACAAGCAACGAACACTGAATTATCCTTACCGATTATTAAATTCAGGTTGTGCAAACAAAACACTTATCCTCTGTGATCTAGTGGTCAGAGCTCCTGGCTACAAATCCAGAGGTCCAGGTTCGATTCCCGGGGCCACCAGATTTTCTTACAAGTAGTGGGTCTGGAACGGGGTCCCCTCAGCCCCGTGAGAATAACTGAGGAGCTATTTCTAGGAAATAGGAGCTCCGGTCTAGAAATTAACGGCCTTGGGGATTCGTTGCGCTGACCACGCGACACCCTCTATCCGCTAAAGTTGATACTGACTTCGCCGACAAGCGGCGGTCGCTCGGTCGGTATAATTCGCTTGCGGAATAAAACCACGGAGTTTGTTTTGTTTTGTGCAAACAAAACCACGTAATCTATATAACTAACTCTATGGAGCTGAGCCCTTCTTGAGAAGCCGCCAATTGTGCAGCTACTCAGGAAATTCCCAACATTTTATGGAATCCGAAGGTTCATAACCGCGTTCAGAAGAGCTCTCCACTGGTCCCTATTCTGAGCCAGATCAATCCAGTCCATACCACCTGATCCCATGGCTGTAAGATCCATTTTAATATTATCCACCCACCTACGTCTTGTTCTTCCTAGAAGTCTCTTTCCTTCTGCCTTTATATCGTATGTATTCCGTATTATTAGATACCGCAGCCCCGAAAGGCAGTAGGTCTTATAAGTACCAAAGAAACGGCTTCATTCCTAACACCGTAGGCTGTATGATCTCTTAGCAACCGCTAGAGTAAAGGGACAGAAACGGAGACATGAACGAATACGGTTTTACACGTAGCAGAGCACACACGCCTCGTTCTGTTTTCAACTCTTCTCTGTGTCTCTGTGTGTGCATATTTTCCACTGTTACTATCTGTGATCACATGTCTAATTTTCATTATTTTACAGTACTTTCATTCAATCGATTGTGGATTCCCAAGCTCGGGATTAGCATATCCCTGCATCAAATGCGAAACCATAGAGTTTTCAGCAATTTCACACTGTATGTTGTAAAGATCCCAGAGCAAAAGGCATTCTGTTAGGATGGACCTCGCGCCCTTACAGGGAGGCATGGTCAAGGAAGTAGCTCAGGATATGAATTGAGTTTATGGTTTCATATACAGGGAAGCTTAGGCTTCCAAAGAAATGTCACCATAATTTAGAACCGTGCTAGACAACGCTGTAAAGCTAGTTAATTTTATTAAGGCTCAACAGTTAAATGACAGGTTATTTTCCGCACTCTGCGATGAGATGTGCAGTGAATATGCACAACTTTTGCTTAATTCAGAAATTCGCTGGCTTTACAGGGGCAAAGTACAAACAAGGTTATTTCAATTAAGACACGAAGTTTTATTGTTTTTAAATGAACGTAATTTTGATTTTGCATTACTACTTTTTGACAAAGCATGGTTATTAGCACTATCCTATCTTTCGGGCATTTTTCCTAAATTAACTGAACCAAATCTCTCCCCTCAGGGAAATTCTTTTACTGCTCTTGATGCCTACGCCAAAATAAAGACATCTGAGAAGAAACTGATGTTATGGATTAGTTATGTAAAAGACAGATAAATTCACCTTTTCCAACATTGGAATCATTTTTAGTGCAAAAAGATATTTCTGTTGATTCTGAATTTCTGAAAAGGTTTGTGACCACCTCAAAACTGTGAAACATATTTTTGTTTATGAGAAATTTCTGTGAGATCGTGATGCATTTCAGACTTATATGTATTCAAAACATGCTTTTAGATTTATTGCGTTATAAATGGCACAGTATATCCCAAATGTTGGTAATACCACATACTTACTTACTTACTTACTTAGTTACTCATGGAGCTCAGCCCTTCTGGAGGAGCTGCCAATTCTGCAGCTACTCAAGAATTTCCCAGCATTTTATGGAACCCAAAGGTTCATTACCATGTTCACAAGAGCCCTCCACTGGCCCCCTATCCTAAGCCAGATCAATCCAATCAATACAATCCCATCCTATCTCTCTAAGATCCATTCTAATATTGTCCACCCACCTATGCCTTCTTCTTCCCAGTGGTCTCTTTCCTTCTGGCTTTCCCACCAATATCCTATACGCATTCCTCGTCTCCTCCATTCGTGCTACATGCCCTGCCCACCTCATCCTCCTTGACATTATCATTCTAATTATACTTGGAGAAGAGTAAAGTTATGAAGCTCCTCATTATGCAGTTTTCTCCAACCTCCTGTCACTTCATTTCTCTTTGGTCCAAATATTCTCCTCAACACTCTGTTCTCAAACACCCTCAGTCTATGTTCCTCCCTTAATGACAGAGACCAAGTTTCACACCCATACAAAACCACCAGCAAAATTATAGTATTGTATATTCTAATTATTATATTTTTGGATAGCAGACGAGAAGACAACAGGTTTTTGGACTGAATGGTAGCAAGCATTACCTGAGTTCAATTTCCTCTAAATTTCCTCCTGAATCAGGTTTTGATCTGTTATTGTTGTTCCCAAATATCTGAATTGTACCACATTTTCAAAACATCTGTTTCCTATCTTTATGTCATGATTTTGCCCTGCATTTTGGTGATGAGACAGCAACATATACTTAGTTTTCTCTGTGTTTACTTCTAGGCCAATCTCTTTACTTGCGTCAATTAAAGTTTGTGTGTATTTCCTTGTGGTATCTACATTATCACCCAGTAGATTCACATCATCAGCATAGGCCAACAGGTGATGTGTCCCGTTTAATTGCAGTCCCACCTGGTTTCCCTGGACGTTCCAAATGCCATATACTAAAGCAAAGTTGAAAAGGAGTGGCGATAAAGCATCTCCTTGTTTTAGACCATTCTGGATAGGAAATTTAACAGACATATGTTTACCTACATGGACTTTACTATATGTTTCATTTAAACACATTTTAAATAACCTAACTAGTTTCATATGTATCCAAAACTCTATCAGAATATTGTACAATACTTCCCTCCTAAGTGAATCACAGGATTTCTTGAAGTCTTTGAATAGCTGATGTACTGTCTCATTGCACTCCCATTTTTTCTCCAATATTTGACAGATGCAAAAGATCTGATCTGTAGTTGATCTGTTATGTCGAAACCCACACTGAAGGTCCACAGTATTTTCATCTATGTATGGACTTAACCCTGAGAGAAGAATATTCAATAACATTTTGTATGAAGTTGATAGCAGTGATACCCCTTGAAAATTACTACAGTCAGTTTTATCACCCTTCTTGTGAACTGATACTCCTTCCACTGATCGGGCAATTTTTCCTTATGCCAAATAGAAGTAATTAAATTGTGAATCTTAGAATGTAATATTTCACCTCCTGCCAGAATTCCTCTGCCAGAATTTGATCACTACCTGGCGATTTATACTTTTTCAATTTTGCAATAGCACTTTCAACGTCAAAAGGGCTAGGATCAGGTACTAATGGCTCAGCTGTATGGATTTATATCTGCCTAACATCTCTGACCCTATGTGCATTCAATAACTGAGAGAAGTAATTCTTCTATTCAAAATGTTGTGGGAATCTGCAAGATCATCATTCTCGTCCTTCACTTAGTTACTTCTAGGCTGGTAACC